CACCATCCTCCTCACTGCCTCCCTTGAGGTACTTCTAGACACTGCTCAGGTCCCCTCTCAGCCTTCTCCTCTCCAGCTGAACAGGCCCAGCTCCCTCAGCCTCTCCTCACAGGGCAGATGTTCCAGGCCCCTGATCATCCTCGTAGCCCTGCGCTGGACTCTCTCCAGCAGCTCCACATCCCTCTTGTCCTGTGGGGCCCAGAACTGGACACAGGTCCATCGCCAGGACCTGTCCACGTGCTCAGGGCTGAAGTCTTCCCCAGATGTGCGATTGGGAGATCCCCTCTGGCCGTTCACACTGAGGGAGGTGGGGTTGTTATTTCATGGTGCGTATATAAGTGTTTGCCTTGCTCCGCCGCGTGGCTCCTGGGGCAGTTTTGCGCAGCCCCTTCCTCGCTGGGCACGGGCAGGGTGCCGCCCTCACCCTGCTCTCCCGCCGTCGCGTCGTGCCTGTCATTCACTGTTTGCTGCTGGAGGTTGATGGCGTGACGGGCTCTGGGTCGGCGCGTGGCAGCGGGAGCCGTGTGTGTTCGGTGGGTCCTTGGGAACAAGCTGCCTGTCATGGTGACAAGTGACGGGTGTACTTACAGCGGCATGGCCTGCGGTCACTTCTGTCACCTACAGGGCACCTCCGCTGGCTCTTTTCCCTTGGGTAGGAGCTGCTATGACCCCAGCCCAAGGCACCTCCACTGTTTTCCCTGCCCATCATGAGACCCTTTTCTGCACGTCCTGTCCCTTCAAAAGCTGACGAGTAACAGTGATCTAGTGTCCAGAGGTGCCTGCTTTGCCACCTGGGCTTCGCACGTCATCAGGTTTTCCCCAGGGAACCTGGGCAGGAGTGTCGCCATCCCGGTGGAGTGGAAGGAACACCAGGCAACAGGAGAGCTCGGTCCACGTTATCGCACGGGGCCTGGGCTCCAGGAGGCCGGCGCCAGCGCAGGGTCATGCCAGAGCATGGATCCCCCGAGTCACCGTGTCCACGAGCATCGTGTATCAACACGAGTGCCCCTGCTTTCTTCTCTCCTTCCAGCCGGCGCTGGGGCCTCTGTAAACAAGAGAGGAAGGTCTGCGAGGCCATAGGTTGGGCCCTTGCTGGGTAGATGTTAGTGCTGGAGACAGCAGGGAGGTGAGGACCCCTCCTTGGGGCACAGCCAAGCTGAGAGGACTCGCAGCTGGAGACATTCATGGGAAAGGGTATTGAACATGCTGGACTCGCTCACCCGGGCCTGGAGGCTTGAAGAGCCGCTGCGCAGCGCTCAGTCCTTGCCCCTGGCCACGGCGGCGGGTGGGATAGTGGGCTGGATGTGCCCTGCGTCCGGGCCGGCTCACGGCCCCGTGG